CCCACCCACCCACAGCTCCTCACCACCCCCCTCTGGAAGTGGCTTGGGAAGCGTGCCGCTGCAGGGGGCACCCCTCACCCAGGAATATCACGCAGACCTTCATGGGAGGGGTGGGGGGAGGGAGGGGCAGGCTGCAGGTGCTTGGAGGGAGCCTTTTCATAGGCTCTTTCTCCAACAGTTGAGGTCTCGTATTGACCTGGGGGTCAAATGGTGGGCAGAAAGCACTGTTCTAAAGCAGGACCCTATTGGTTTCAGCCAGAGGCCAGGGCAGGGGGCGGGGCAGTGTGATCCTCTGCACACTGGTACTCCCCGAGGTCCGCACGCCCGCTGGGCCTTCTCCAGGCTCACTCCCTCCGAGACTCGAGACTCGAGACTCGGGGCCCCGGGAATGCGCCCTTTCCTGTCCCCTGGCAAAATGATGGACAGGTCATACACCTAGAGCATAGTCCCCGCCGGTGAGCACGTGGCTGTCTCGCAGCGGAAAGATTATCCACGTAGTTCATTTTCTGTAAAATAAAAACAAAACAGGACGCTGCTCCAGGCAGAAGTCTGGCACCCACACCCGCCCTGCTGTCACTGTGCAGAGTCGGCGAGGGCTGGGCCAGAGGGGTTTGGGAACGTGGTCCATGAGAGTCTGTAGGGAAAAAAACAACACAGGAGGATATCAACCACTTCTCAAAGTCCACGTCTGCCCTTGGCATGGACTCAGACCCCAGGATGGCTCCCCGGGGGCCTTGCCTTTCCTCCCAGAGCCGCTTCCGTGTGGAGTGTGAGTTCTCCTGAGAGTCTTGCTTTGCACCTCTTACCTGTGGCTCTCTGACTCTCAGTCTGAGGCAGCCCCCCTTCTGGAACTGCTACAAAACTGGGTGGGGTTTTTACAATGTTGCTTGGATGGGAGGAGACCCTTCAGAACAGGTTTGCCTACAAAGCCCTACGATCCCAGGGGTGGGGTGGGGGTGGTGGCATGTCAGGAGTGTGGGGCTGGCCAGTGAGGGCACCAAACTCTGGTCCCATGGGATTAAATCCCCCTCTTTGGAGCCCAGCCCTCTGGCTGGGCGGGAGCCCCTGTGAACGGGTTGTGGGGGATGGGCAGGGACTCTGCCTGCCCCTCACTCCTGGCACAAGGACAAGGCAGTGGAGGCTGCAAGGCCCCTAGGAAGGGAGCCGTGACTCCAGCTGGGGTGCCCAGGCATGGGAAGGAAGTCTGAGCAGCTGATGGTGCCCAAGCACCCCGGGCTGCCACCCTAGGGTTCCCTCCTCCCCCAGCAGCTAAGAGCCCTTGGCATCCCCTAAGAGTTTTAAGGTCAAGAGCCATGGCGGTGGGTGCCCTCAGTGGGCCTGCCTCTGGCAAGGTTTCTACTGTATCCCCAGGGCCATCCTATGATACTCCCCCTTCCCCAGGGGGAGAGCTGCATCCAGGGAACCTAGCACCCATGTCAGGAGACATGGAGGATGGCCAGCTGAGCTGGGCTGTTGGAAGCAGGCCCTGTCCAAGTCCACAGTCCATGATGCACGTGGACGCCCTGAGCGGGGCGTGTGAGTGGCGCTTGACTCCTGCACAGCCTGGGGTCCCCAGGCAGACCAGGCTGCAAGCAGAGGTTTTCCCACCCCCTCTCCCCCCACCCCATGTGTTTTTCAGGCGCTTCTCTAGGTTTTGAGGTGGTGGGGGGAGTGTTGGTCGGTCAGTTCTCAGCACAGATGCGGGGCTTGGAGGCGACCCCTTACCTGCCTTGGTCTTGGCATCTCTCCACTGTTCCTTTGCTCCTGAGCCGTCGGGGCAGCTGGGTGGTGAGAAGTAGGGCCAGGACTTGTGACCCGTTTCAAGTTTGGGTGGGAAACTGTGGCAGAGGGTGCGATCGGCAGTGCACACGCCACCCAGCCGTGCACTTAGAGGTGGTCACGGGCGGCCCCTGTGGTTAGTCTCCTCCCTCATGCCTATCGCAGAGCGTGCTTTCCTGCCAATTACTGCCCCAGCCATCGCATCCTGGGTGTATTGGGTTGGATGCAAAGCTATTAAAAATTAAAACAAAAACACCCAAAGCAATGACTCTAGTTAAATGATCCTGAAACCTGTGATCAGTAGCCCGCCTTCATCCCACGGGATGATGGTGGCTGGTAGACACAGCGTGCTTCAGCAGGGGTCTCAGAGAACTTTGCACACAAACTTGGACTTGCCTCCCACCCCCACCTCCGTGAGAAGCCCCTTGGGTGACTGGAGGTGGCTCACCGCCCAGCCTCGCCTGCCACAGCCCCTTTGTGGCCATCTGGCAAGGAGTCCTGGTGGCCTCTTGGGTCCCACAAGGTCAGCAGTTTGAAACAATCAGAAAAAGGTGGTTTTCTACTCCCGTAAAGAGTCAACAGTCGTACACACCCACAGTGGCAGTTGCACCCTGTCCTATAGGGTCGGAACCGGCTCGATGGCAGTGGGTTCGGAGCTGTTCTTTGGGAGACCTCTCTAGAGAAGAGGAAGTGGAGGCTGTGGACTCCACAGGAACCCAGAAAAAGGGAGGGGGCCCTGCTGCAGAATTGCCGAATCCGGTCTGAGCAGGTTGAATCAGCTGGGTGGCCGTGAGTGAGATCTCTCTGGGTGTGTGCTTCCCCTGACAGCCTGCCCTCCCTGCCCGCCCTGGTCCCATCCCGTCATTGCCTGTCAGATTGTTCCAGGTCTCTGTGCTTCCTTCTGCCCTCCATCCCCAAGAAGCCAGTCGGGGTGGGAGACAATCAGAGGGGTGTCCAGCTTTCGGGGGCTTCCTGAGCTCTGGCCTGGGGCTGGAGCCGCCGACATCGGGGGCACGGACACCCAGAGGCCCATCTCCAAGGCCTGGCAGAGGTGCCTTCAAGGGAGCGTTTTGAACTTTCAGTTGGAGCAAGTGGTGGAGTGAGATGTGTCCATCTGTCTCGTCGGTAACCATTGGCAGGCATGCTCTCCTCCAGAGAGTTCTCCTGGTGAATTTTCTGGAGCAGTAGCTTCTTCGACCTGCCTTGGTGTTAGCCCTGACTTGGGCAGAATTCTGCTGGGTTTTACATGCCATGCAGAGAGGGGACAATGATAATTATGAACGTATTCAGCCAGTTGCTTATCCACCTTTCCACGTTGTTCCTACGTGACCTGTAGTGACTTCTCTGGGGACACGGTCCCGAGACACGGAGGTGCTAGTGTTCATAAGTGCGAGCATCTATCTGCAGACCTGGAGACACATAGCTGTTGTTGCCGTGAGGCGACATCCCGTGGGTTCCGCCTTGTCATAGTCCCGAGTCTGAGACAAGGAAACGCTGCCCCGTTCTGTGCCGGCCTCACAATGGCCAGCTATGAGCCCACTGTTGCAGCCACAGTGTCCATCCATCTTGTCAAGGGCCTCCTTGTCGCTGCCCCTCTACTTTACCAAGCATGCCATCCATTCCCAGGGACCGGTCTCTCCTGAAAAGCTCCCCACGGCACGCGGGGCAGAGTCCCGCCGCCCTGGCTTCTCGGGAGCGCTCTGTGCTTCTTCCAAGACAGATGTGCTTGTCCTCTGGCAGTCCGCAGTGCGCCCACACTCTTGCCCAGCCCCGGTCATTCGAATGCTGCGAGCCGCCGCCTTTAATGGATTAAGTGATGTGACAGAACGGAGGGTAGCAGGAGGCTCCCAGTGCTCTGAATATGAAACTCCAGTTTGTGTCACTTCCTTAAATGTGTTTCCTGGTATGTGAGAGATGGACCCACCCCCTCCAGCTGAACAGCACCTTAACGCTATTACCTGCAAGCCCATGATTGGCTGCCTAGTTGGTCTTCTCGGCGATTGAGCTCGAGGACCCGACACGGAGCTTCGGCTCCTCTCGGCTGGCGTCTTTCTGAGAATCTAGCAGTTAAGACAAGAGCAAAGGCCGTGTGCTCATGGTAACCTGTCTGCAAACCTGCACATCAGACAAGCATCTGGCTTGGCCCGCTGCGTGAATAGTACCCTTCTCTTCTTGCCTATGGACATTTCATGGGGAGTGTATCTAAAAGTCCAGTGTGGTTTAAAGGAGGGACGCCATGAGCTGGGTTATTAGTGGACGGAGGGAGGTCCACAGGACAGTGCCAAGGATGAAGGACTTGGCATCCTTCTGAAACGGGTTGTTTTTTTTGGTATCTAAGTATGTGAGTGTGGGGTAATTTCTTGACCAGCATTTACCTTGTCACAAAGCAGTTTGATGTTTGTCCGTGTTTTCTGAAAGGGAACCTGACACCCGTGTACCTTCCTGACTTAAGGAGACCCCGCCTGTGGGTCTGTGCGTCTGAGGGACAGGCTGGCCCGGCCACAAGGGCCCACCCCACAGGCCTGACATCAGCTGACCTTGGGGAGAGGCACGATGGAGTGGCCTAAGCAGCGCGGCCTCCACCTTGCCTCTGGGCTGAAGCCGGGGTGGCCCTGCACATGGAAGGCCCACGGGCTTCCTGGTTGGTGAAAGACATCCACACACACACACACACACACACACACACACACACACACGAGGGCAGCATGCCCAGGCCCCGGGGCTACACGGCTCCGTCTCAGCCGTCTGCTGGGCTGAATGGAGGCCGAGCACTTTGTGTGAGTTTTCCAGCCAATGAGCCAACCCGAGGGCCGAGGGAGCCTGGGGGTTTCTGGGGTGCCCACGGGCATGTCCCTGAGCTTGTGGCTGGCCTTTTGGGGGGCTATTGTAGGGCAGGCCCCCATCTGTAGCCAGCAGGTCAGAAGTGATGGTGTTGGGTGGACTGCCCAATTTGTGGCCAGTGCTGAGCCTCTCTGGCAGTCTGGGGGTCGGACGACGGTGTCCTTTTAACTTGTGAGATCTGAACTGGATCCCGGTGGCGAGGGGCGGGCGAAGCAGACGGCGAGCAGCCTGTCTGCGCGGCGGCGGGGGGCAGTCGCTGCGGGTGTCCGAAGCCGGGCTCACAAGTTAAAAGGACGCCGGACTCAAAGGGAAGGACGGGGCTAGCACCAGGGACGAGGGTGCCGGGTGGGGGGTGAGTACGAGAAACTTTTGATTCCTGCACGGCTGCTGACCAGTCACATGTGGCTGGCAGGCCGCAGCGGCGGCTGCACCATGGGCTGCCCGAAGTAAAGACAGGCTGGGTGCTAACTCCTGGGGGGCTGCCTGGCAGGGTGCAGGAGGAGTGGAGAGAAATAGACTGTTCTGCGTCATTGGGATATCGGTAACAGCAACAGCTCAAGTGAAGACATGGGATGAGCCAGGCCCAGCTCGAGCCCCAGGACCCCCATGGAAAAAGGGAATGTGGGGGAAGGGCCTGTGTCTGGGCATGGCTCAGAGTCCAGCTGGCCAGAGGGCACAGCCCCTCCAGTTCTGGAGCCATTCCCAAAGGGGAAAGTTTAGCCAGAACAGCAGGGAATGAAGACGGATTCCCTGGAGGGGAATGAAGAAACAGTTGAGTTTAAGGGAGCTCTCTTTCCTCCCAGCAGGTACAGATTATCAAAGGGTTGGGGGACCGTGAAGCGAGCAAACATTGAAGGTGGTGAAAAGGGGGCGTGGGGGTCAGGGTGGGCTGGGAGTAAGGAAGAGCCAAGGTTCAGTGCCCAGAGTGGAACTCCTTAGAAGGTTATCAAGAAATGAGGCCAATATAGAGGACCTTGACAGAGAGTCTCGGCGGAGCAATCGGGACCCTTCCCTGTTCACGGCAAGGGCCCTAAACAAGCCGGCTCAGGTCTCTCACGGGAGGAGGAATTAGAAAAGCCAGCAGGCAATGTTGGCAAGGAGAAGCCTGTCCCAGAATTACCTGGGGCTAAGGGCCAGCGGGTTCATGAGGACCAGGGTTGACATGGCGTGGGCCATGTCTCCGCGTTGGATCCCCAGCTGGGGACCTGTCGGGGAGGAGAGGTTTCTGTCCCACATCAGAGATGGAGCCTCATGGGCAGTGTTCCCCGAAGTGGTTCATGAAGCCCTAATGGTGGTGACTACCACTGGACTGGGAAACGTTCAAATGACCATGGGAGTTTCTGAAGGAGGTTTATATGAAGTGTTTGTGTCTCTTCAACGTGATTGGAAGGGGTATTTGTGTCTGGCTAGACAATGCTTCCCCAACCTCGTATAACAGAAGGCATGTAAGCCCCGCCCTTTGGTCGCTATTAATTGGACGCTAACATTGGAACGGGTACCATTGGCCACTCAGGCGGCTCATTTCAAACAGTGTACATGGGATGCTGGCGTGCTGCTGCGGACAATTTCATGTACAATGCCCTTGCACGGGGCGTAAACTGGGCCCATGAGTGGCCCTACCCAGTCTCAACTGATGGGATTTGGGACTGGAATGTTTCCATCTGAGGGACAGGTACTTGCTGGATCTTGGACTTTGTCGGGGTCCGCTGTGACTGAACGACATGCGATAATCTTGAAATCTGAAACTACCCATGATATCTTGGCTGGTGTGGGAGAAAGGCCCTTGTCGGGAAGGTGGAGCTCACGAGAGTGGCAGAGTGAAATTGAAATGGTTTACACAGAAACACATATATTGGGGCTATCAAGTCCTGGGGCCATGTGGCCAGTGCTCTCTAGACAGTCTTCAGAGGGCCATCGAGTTCTTGGGTTTGCGATGCCAGTCTGAGGCACAGGGACACACAACATCCTGTGTGGACCGCTGCCGCCCTAGGATGCATCCATGGATGGGAAGACTCTGGTGGAAGACGGTCATGATACCTGGCCTCGACAGGCTGATCTGCACACCGCCCTCCCTGCGGTGATGGGGGAAGTGGAGAGAGTGAGACTGGACCCTCTGTCTGGATTTTCATAACTGAGGGGCAGGAGTCTAAGGGGTCTCCCCATAGAGCATTGGGGAAGGGGCCCGAGCCAACTGGGTCGGGATGGCCATGGTCTGTCCAGTTGCCTCCTATGCTTGTGACAGTGAAAGGGAACAGAGCAGACTGTTCCATGGGTGTGCTGAGGAACAGCACATCTATCTTGGAGGAAGTACAACCAGAATGCTGCTCAGAATCAAGAGTGGAGGGACTTCATCTCATGTACTTTGGACATTGTGATGGGTTTGGGGGATGGGTTTGGGGCCAACTTGGTTGGGCCGGGATTCTCCGTGGACTGGCAACTAAAGCCTAGCAACCAATCCCCCATGTTGTTACTCAACTCCACAATGGGATTAGCTGTGAGCAGCCAATCAGTTGTAAGATTGGGATTGAGTGCAACCGTGTACTCTGGTTAGAGCCCCCATGCAGTCTTAGTGAAGAGCTGTGTCCACATCATGTGTTCAGTGGACACTGACCGGGGGTCTGGATCCTGCATCTGGCTCTTTGACCTCCAGTTTCTTGGACTAGAGCCAATGGCCCGCCTGATTGGCTTGTGGATCCCAAGAGCAGTCAGCAGCCTGCCACCTGACCTGCCAACCTTGGAGTCACATGACTTTGTTGCAGCCTGGGTGTTCCTGCCCAGCCTGGGCTCACCCGCCCCCTCAGAGCTGCCTGAGTGGATAGTGGACTGCACCTACCGGCTTCTACAGCTGAAGATGAGCCGTTTTCTGGACGTCCATGTCTCTCGTTGCACAGACACTTGCTGCCACTGGGTTTTCCTCGCTAGAGAATACGGCCTACCACAGACATGTTCTCAGGAAGAAGGACATAACGTGCGTGGTGAAATAGAGGAGGAGGACTCGGAGATGGATTGACACAGTGGCTGCAGCAATGGGCACCAGCATGGGGACGGTTTGGGGGATGTGGCGCAACCGGGCAGCGTTTCGTTCTGTGGCCCACGGGGCCCGCTGTGAGTCGGAACAGACTCGACCACCCCTAACCATCTGCGGGGCGCAGCTCTGTCAGTGGGGCATGATGGTGCCCATCAGGAGCACGCTCTCCCAGGTCTGGTCCGTGACTCCACCGAAGTTGCATGGCTATCTCACAGTATGTCACCCAGATGCTAGAAAATGCAGGAGACCCCCCCTGCCAATGAGGATTGCTAAGTTGACTGACGAGAGGGACAGAGATGGCTGGGCCCACAGCGGAGGTTCCCAGAGGAGCAGGACCCTGCCTCAAAGCTGCCAGTTCCGGAAAGCTGCTCGACCTCTGGGGCAGGGCGGGGCTCGCCGCCCCAAGTGCCAGTGTCCTAGGTGCCAGCGTCCTCCCGGGTGCTGTGAAAGGAAGCAGGCATGGAAGCGGCCGCATCAATCGGGGCTGCTCCAGCAACACTTGCTTACCGTCAGTGCGATGGTTTGATGGAACGTTGGATTGGGCAATGGGAACATGTGAGTCAAAAACGGGAGACGAGAGAAGCGTGAAGGGCTGGCTTACATGTCTTCTGGTGTGTGCACCCACACTCGACCCCAGGGGGCAAGGGAGGAGCCCCCCATTGGTGACAGAACTCGGGAAGAAGCGTCGGGGTGGGGATACTGTTTGCCTGACTGCATGATTGTGGCTCACTGCTACTCAGTCCTGATTTTCCTCTACAATGTTGTCTCCATTCCTCCACACCGCAGCTGCCGCGCACCGGTGCCCTGGGGTGCGACTGTGGGTAATGAGGGGAGGGTGGTCCCTAAGAAGCTGTGGGAGTAGACTGAGGGGGAGGCACTGGCTCGGCAAAAGCTGCTGGAAGTCTAGGCGGCTGCAGTAGCTGAGGTCCACCCAGAAGGAAAGCCAGTCACGGCGGGATGGGAGTGGCTATGAATGGGACCTGGCCCCTCGATGGAAAGCCGAAAGTTACTTACACGCCAAGCAAAAGAGGATGTTGGCTCTTAGCTCGGTCGGACCAGATGCCTGAAAGGGCCATGCACGCCATGCCTGCCCCTGCTTCTGCAATCCAAGAAGCTGGAACAGCAGCCCTCGGGCCCCAGGGACCCACGTGGGGAGGCTGGTCTACAGTCGGGTGATGGACCGATGCCCGGATGCTGGTTATATGGTGCTACCTGTTGACTGACTTTTTGTGTTTTAGGTCTCTGTACAGCGGGCATTGCTGCTGAGATGCTAATGCCCAGATAGCTGGTCAGATGTATTGGGAAGCGGGGTTAGGGCAAGTCCTGCGACTGGCCCTCACTAGCCCTGTGTATGTTGGCAAGTTTGTGGTGGGGGTGGGGCAGCAGGGGGCCCGACCCCCCGGCTTGTAAAAGCAACCGTGGCAAAGGCCTGAGGGCCGAGTGCTGGGCAAAGGATTTGACTTCCCCAAACCCATCATCTTCCTGAAAGATAATGCCGCTGGAAGGTTTTCTGTTTTCCAGACCCTGCGGGGGCTTGTGCTCTGAGCCCGCCCGAAAGGCACCATGCTGAGCCCGGCCGTGGGGAGTGAGGGTCGCAATGCCGTTTACCAGGCTCAAGCCACCAGGGCTCGATCCCGACTCCGGGATGGATGAAGCCAGCCAAGCTCCGGACGTGGATTTGCAGCATCAGCACAGGTGGAACAGTGCCGTGCTGCCCCCGTGGCTCTGCGGTTTGGGGGACGGTGACGATGGCCACTTTTCCTGTATCGTTTGTGCCCACAGTAACCTGGTCCACCCACTGTTTTGAAATGGATTCATAAACATATCAAAACATTTCTCCGTTTCAAATGAAGCGTGATGCATAGACACAGCAGGCACCCCCCCTTCTCCCCTATCTCCCCCACCTCCTAATCCCAACCCCGTGGTCCTTCACTTTTAAGGCAGCAAGGGGTCTCAATGGCCAGGTGTTTGAGCCCTTCTACCCTGGAGCAGTGAGGTGATGGTGAGACAGGGGGCGGTGCCCGGGGCACTCTGGGAAGCACCAACTGCTGTGGAGTGAACCCCAGCTCCTGGCGGGCACCATGGGCAACCCAGGAGACCTGGGGATGCCATCAGGGTTTCAGCGACTTGGTTTGTCAGAAGCAGGTGGCCAGCCCTTTGACCCGTGGGGAGCTTGAGTGGGTGGGCCGTGGCAAGGAGAATCAATCCTGCTCCTGGCAGACCAGGCTACAGAAGACTCACCCCGGGTGGGCAGTGGGTGACTTTCTCCAAAGACAGAGAACCAGGGCCTCAGAGGGAGGGCCTGCTTGAGCTGGACTAAGGCGGCCGCAGGTGCTGCCGGGAAGTTCAGACCACGGTTTTTGTTACTCTAGCCCCTGGCCTACTGACACCCGGTGATGGACCTCACAAGAGCAGGTCTTACCCCCCCCCCCCTTGTACCCTTGCTGCCCCTGCTGTCTGGGCCAGGGCCCATGAAGGATAGAGGGGCAGCAGGAAGAGTGGAGCAGTTTCAGGGAGCAGGTGCAGCCAGCTCAGCACCCCTCAGCCCTGGCACCACCCCAGCGTACCCTGGGACGCATGAAACACCTCCCCCAAATCCACCGTCCCCCAACCCAAACCCACTGCGAAGTCTGTCACTGAGCGGAACCTCCATGTCACGGCGTTTCAGGTGACGGCAGTCTTTCAGAGGTGGAGCTGCTGGCCTTCCTAGCAAGGCCCCTCCGGGTGGACTCTAGCCACTAGCCTTTCGGGTCAGTGGCCAACCCCATGGACATCCCCACTGCCCAAGGAGCCCACCCAATCTAAAAACCCAGGGAAAGACCACCTCACCATCCTTGAGGTGTAGAATGGTGCCCATGGGCCTCAGACTGGCGCTCTTGAGAGAGTGGCAAGCCCTGTCTCTTCCCTGGAGCGGCGGACCGTTTTGAACTGCTGACCTTGCGCTCAACAGCCCGATGAGTGACCCACCAGCCACCAGGGCTCCCCAGGCTGGCGTCCTGAGAGTCTTTGACTTAGTAACATTCCACCTGGGCGCAGCCCGGATGGAGAGCCTGTGGGGTAGTTTTGTCTGCCGGGCGCAGACACACAGGCCCAACGGACGGCTTGAACAAACGCATTCGCCCTCAGGGTGAGCAAGAGGCTGGGACCCTGAATTTGGGGCGACGGCTCCCCGGGAAGGCGTCCTCTCTCTGCCTCTCCTGGTCCGAGGAGGGTCCCAGAGCAGAGACTCTGGGTGCACGGGGCCTGCCCAGCTCCCAACCCATCTTCCTCGGTGGCAGGAGGTTGGTTCCATCTCTGCCCGCCAGGGTCATGCCTTTTAGGCCCCAGAAACAACGGACTAGACCACAACCCATCCGCTCCGTCTCACTAGCCTCACAAGTGTCCCCTGCCCCCACAGCACTGAGGTTAGGTGTCACCACACGCAATGCAACCACCCCAGATCACAGACTGTGCGGTCCTGGCCCACCCAGCAGGACAGACACATTTCTGGGGGAGACGCGCTTCAATAAGTAACATGACAGAACCCTCACGCCCACGCCCCGAGGTGGTGGCTGTCCAGTCTCCAGGCAGTGAGACACTCCCCTGGCATCCACCTGTGGTGAGACACTGCACTGTGGGTGGTGTCCGGTGAGGGGGTGGGGTGGGCGCTGGCCTGGAGACACGCCGTCCTTTCTCCAAAGGTGGGCAGTGTGGAGACTTGATATCTTACATGCTAGCAGTAACTCACTGCCACGGAGTCCATGCCGACCCACAAGAACCCCCGCTGGGTTCCCGGTATGTCGCTGTTGACGCCAGGAGAAAGCCCGTCTTTCTCCCTGTGAGCTGCCAGTGGTTTTGAACTGCCGACCATGCGGATTGCGGCCCAACGCATAACCACCACGTCCCCAGGGCTCCCGTGGAAAATGGTCCTGTCTTGTTGACAGACGGTTCCCATGGGGATTTGGGGATATGCCGAGCAAATGGGGGGCAGGGAACCCTTTCACCTGCTGAGGGCTGTCTGCAGGCCACACAAAATGAGCAGCTTAAAGTACCAGCCTGCTGTATTTGGCCAAGTGTTCGCTAGCTCACCCCTCTTGTGATGGCTGGAGCCTCTTCTCTCTGGTGAGGTGTGTGATGGTCACTGGTATTGATGTCAATGATCCTTAGACAGCCCACAAGCCAGATGTTCTGCAGCTCCGAGATTAAATCATGAAACCCAGGGTCCATTTCATGGGTGACTGCACCCAGGGCTTTCTCTCGCTGGCTCAGTCGGACACCCCCACCCACCCCAAGCCCACAACAGGGGAGCAAGCCAGAGTTCTGTGCCAACGGGAGCGCCACGCCCCCTTCACCAGCTCGATGGCTGACCAGCCTTTGGCGATGCCAGCTTGCTGCGATGGAGAGCAGTGCCAAGACACGTCTGCACTCATCCCTGTGGGCATAGACGGTGGGACGGCCTCCCTGGGTCAGGAGGTAAGATGAAAGGAGACCAGGTGGTCCTAGCGGGTGAACCTCAGAGTATGACCCCCAAGGTCATCGGTTCAGCCCCTCCAGCTGCTCCTCGGGAGAAAGATGAGGCTGTCTGCTCCTAGAGAGATTCACAGCCCTGGGAGCCCTGTGTGGGGCCACGGTGAGTCAGACTCATCTAGAAGGTAAGGTGTGTGTGCGCCTTCAGCCTTCAGCGGGCACGGCCCTCTCAGGCTGGCTTCTCTGGAGAGGCCAAGCCAGTCAAGATGAGTGAGTGTGTGGGTGTGTGTGTGAGCTTGGAAATACCTGGGGAGAAGGGAATGTTTTGAGAATGATGAGGGTAACGAATGTACAAATGTGCTTTATACAATTGATGTATGTATGGACTATGATAAGAGTTGTGTGAGCCCCCAATAAAATGATTTTTTTTAAAAAAAGAAAATACCTGGGGAGAAGGGAATGGAATGAGAAGGAATATTTATTTTTCTTTTTGGTTGTTTAAAGAGACCGTTTATTATACTCTTAGAGGACACGGGGAAGACAAAGATGGGCATGGGGGTGGGCAGAGAGGGGGAACCCAAGGCAGGGGTCATGGTTGTGCCCAAGGGTCTGCTGACACTCAGGGCTTCAGAAAGGACATGGGAGGTCACCCACACATGGCAGTTGGCAAATACCTGCGGTGCAATAACTGGAGTGGGAACGGCCATGATGACCGCGCACGTCCTGGCCTCAGAGGAGCTTACCCGATTGGTCCAGGGGCCTTCCAGGGCAGAGCAAACTTTTTGTGCCTGAGTACACACACACACACACACACACACACACACACACACACACACGCACACACACACACACGAAAATGGCCCTTGTCCACCCGGAGGCGGCATCTGCCTCATGTAGCTGCAGGGGCGGATGGAGCCCACAGGCAGGCATCAGCACTGAGAGCAAGCAAAGGAGTGTGTTTCACCAGAGTGCCACCCGCTGGGCAAGCTCTCCTGGGCTGGCGCTGCTAGTAGATTGTGCGTGAGCAGTCAGTCCAGTGTGTGCTGAGCCAGAGTCATCCGTGAGCCAAGTTGACCCCAACATGAACCACGACACGACCACCAAGTTTTCCAACACGATTGCCAATTGACGCAACTTCTCCAAGGCCCCAGCACCTCCCAGTCCTCGGGGTCTCGAAGGGGTCCCCCAGACCGACAACGCCATCCACTGCCGTGGTCTGAAGGCCCGCTCCCCATCACTGTCCTGTGTTCTGGAGCCCAGGGGCCTGTCTGAGCACAGGCATCTCTGGAGGGGAGTGTGGGGGGCTGCCGGCAACTCCCCAAGTCCTCTAGCCCCTCTCCTGGAGAGGGTGTCTCAAGAGCTCAAGGCTGGGTTTGGGGCAAACTTGGCAAACCCAGCTCCAAGAAGATGAACACCTGTGGGAAAGAGGTACATGTACTTTTGGGGAGGGGAGGGGCTTCAAAAAACTTCCTGGGGAAATTCCATGATCTCCCATTCCGGTCCTCCCCTCGCCCCTAGAACTTTGTGAAGCCCCTCGTATGTGTGTTGCTATACCAACCCACCGTCCAGTTGAATTCTGACTCATGGCAACCCTGTCGGACAGAGAAGCACAGGCCCAGAGGGTTTCGGGGCTATAAATCTTTTAAGGAGGCAGACTGCCCTCCCTCCCATAGAGCGGTGGGTGGGTTCAAACCACTGACCTTTTGGTCAGCAGCCAAGTGCTTGACTACTGGGCTACCAGGACTCCAGGGTGCTCCAATGTACCGCCCTGGGGTAGATTTTTATTCTCAGTGAGCCTACAGGACGGAGTAGAACTGCTCCGTAGGGTGTCTGAGGGTATGATCTTAGAGACGCCAACTGCCGCATCTTTCTCAGGAGGGTTTGAACCCTGCACATCTTGGTTGTGAAAAAATCAGTGTTTCATTGCTGAAGCACCAGGCCCCTGTGTGAGACACCAAGGAGCAGGGGTCCCACGTGTGTCTGGAGGGGGAGCCCAGGCCTCCCTGACTTTTCAGCAGGAAGCCCCTCCTGACGGTGGGCCCGGAGTTGGCAGGCGAGGGAAGCTCAGATGACCACAGAGCTGCTTGGGACTCTTCTCTTCATCCTTAGGGCACGTGCACCGAGCCGTAAACACAGAAAGTGATCTCACCAGCCGCTCCCCAGGCCTCTGTTGGGTGAGGGAACATTTGCTCCTGTGTTCTTTTTTTGCGAGAAACTAAGGCCCACCCAGGGTTCAGCTCACTGCCATTAGGAACACCAAAAGCAATCAGCCAGCCACCACTATCAGCTATCGTAGAGGGTCTCCATGGGCCAGAGAAGTGCAGTCCACAGCTCAAATGGGGAGGATGCGGGGGAGAAGGGAGGCAGCCCAGACGCTGAGAGGAGGCTG